AAGAACAAGATGTTTCTTTTGTTCTTTCCAGGCGATCGGAAAAGAAAGAAATGTTTCCTAGTCTGTAAGTGGCCACGTGGCCACTTTTCTGAGCTTTCGCCCTAATTTTTTTTCACTTTTCCTCTATTTTTTTCTATTCTGTAATGTTTAACTTCTTCTATGCTTTAGCTCCACCATTTATTCGGTGATCTTTTTTTATAAATGAATTTTTTTTTTCTATTTCTACCATTTTCTTTCTTATTGTTTCCCCCTCTGTTCCTTTTTTTTTTCATTGTGAGGAGAGACCACATAGTCCCGGCTCACAAATTTTTTTTTCTTTATTGCTGATGCAATCTTATATAGAAGCTCATTAGCTGTGTAATTTCCGTTGTGGGGCCTTTTATGGGAAGGGGCACCATTATATATACAGAGTTGGGGGTTCTCTTGATATACATATCCAACTTCTTCCTATATTTGCTTCCACACTTAACTATTTGGATCATATTGCCACCAATTACCCCTTTTATTGTCTCAAAGGATGACTGACAATAGCACAGCCACAGCCATAACACCACAGCGTCAGACACCTAGGTACGTATATCTTAATACCTAACTTCTTTTATTTTTTTACTTTCATGGGAGTCTTAAAAGGCCCAACCGACCACTTCATTTTCAATTTTATTTATTGGCGTGATAACATTTTTTTTAAAATTGTTTGCAGTTTTTCTGTTTCACTCCATGCTGTCTACGAGTTTGCCATCACATCATTAGTAACTCTAAATGAAATTAAGTATGGATCAGGTTTAAATACCAATCCTTATCAAGAACCTGCAGGGATAATCATGTTACTTTTACTCATAGCTATATCGGCTCATGCCATTGCTTTGGCTGCAAAAATAATTCTTGAAACAGATGAAACATGGCTAGCTAATATCATACTTCATTTTTCTGGAGTACTTGCCATTGAAACACTTGTTTGGACCTTCTTCGATACATTCTGGTTGTGGATCATCTTCAATGTTATTATGTCACTGACAGTAGCATTATGTTTCTACAAATATATATTTGTGTTCCTCAATAATCATCTAGGTACATTGCATTAATTGGATTCTGAAGAAAATTCGCAACAAGGTAACGATGCTCAAAAAGTTCTTGTTTTGACCGGTATTTTACACGACATTTATTCAATCATTAAATTAACATTTTTCATCCTTCACAAACTGCTCAGGTGATCTCAGTGAATTTTAATAAACTCTAATGGACTCCCATACCAAACCAGGCCCATTAGCTGCGGAAGGAAGCAGCAGAAAGAAGCCCAACACCTAGAATATCACATGTAGTTTTTGCTATTAAATAATACGTTGAAATTTTCGAATAGTTGATTCTTATTAAGATTGATGTAAACAAATTGGCTATCAATAGTGGCATAATGAAACTTTCTTTCTTCTTTTTTGTGTGTAAAAGGTTTGAGAGAACCAACAAAAGCTTAAAAATTTCATGTTCAAATAGCAAATGTAATCGTAACTCACTATTTCACTCAATACCATCTTCATCAATAACAAAATGCTTAACTCAAATAATAATAATAATAATAAAAATTACCAAAAGGAAAGCTCCCCACCTCATTTAAAGTATGAATGCCACGGTTAACTCCAAACAGATGGACCCCCAGAACATTAATATATAGTTTATACAGCCACTAAATACTTCCTTTGTTTGGATGTGACTCCGATTTGTTCTAGAGGCTTGAGCTCTATGTTTCTGCGTTACTCTGATATCAAGCCCAAGCTTGCACTAGTGCATCAGTTTGCAATTTGTGCTACAGTCTCGTTCATCTTAATTGGGCTTAGGCCCAAAACTTGGGACTATTTTCTGTCATTTACTACTGCCATTTGTGGGGGGGGGGGGGGGGGGGGGGGGGGGGGCTAACTACCTGTTCTTCTATAGTTTTCTGCTAGTGGCAAAGGCAAGAGCTTAGAATAGGTTGAAGATGAGAAACATTGAGTCTTAAGGCACATTCGGTAGAGAGGTAAATTTCGAAAAATTGACATTAAGAATCTTATTTATCTACATTTAATATGAGAATTGTGAAAAAAATTCTGGAAAATTCAAATTCTCAAGATTTAAAATTGTGAAGTAAAATTCCAACAAAGAATATCATTGGGTGGGAGGTATTCTTGAATTTTCATGAAATTTTTTTCAAATTTTTCACGCCTAAAATACCCTTGTTAAAACCCTAGCATGGGTCACAAAATCGCTACTAGAAAAAACTTGTATAGCGACGGAATTGCTATGGAAATTCCGTCGCTAATTTCATCCTCGCTACTACTTTCCGTCACAAATTCCCTCGCAAACGATTTTGCGAGGAAATTTGCGACGGAAAGTAGTATAGAGGATGAAATTAGCGACAGAATTTTTATAGCAATTCTGTCGCTATAGAGATTTTTTCTAGTAGTGAATCTAAAGTTCCTTGGATGTTCTCACGCCACTGTTCCTCTGATTCAGATCGGCGATAGTAGATAGAAGTGTTAATAAGTCGAGCCGAGCTTTGGTCTTAAAAGGTTAAGCTTGTCTTTAAATGTGTCAGTCTGACCAAGCTTATTACCTGTTATGAATATAATTATCGGAATGTGATATGCCTTATTTACAAATTATCGGAATGCGGCCTGCCTTATTTACAAAAAAATAAAAGTTTGGTTTAGCCTGAGAGTCTGTTTAGAAAAAATAAGACAACAAAATTTTATTCAAAGAGAATATACAATCAACCACACTAGTAATTCCATAAATATTCATAAATTTAATGTATATCTAAACAATATAATATAAAACAAAATCATTCAAAAAGTCTGTTTAACTAATAAAATGTAGTGAAATGGATTGAGGAGAGAGAAAAGGCTTAGAAGTAGTATAAAAAATATCAAATAAAAACTCAGGCCTTCGCAGTCAAATCACCTCTATAAGGCCCGGTTCATTTAGCACCCGCAGCTTTTGCAAAGAAACAAAGCAGGGCTTTTGCAGAACAACAATAGAAAACACGGCAATACTCATCAGAAAACACTGTAATACTCATCCGCGAATCACGATAAAGAACTCTCGGGGCCAAACACAATAACCAAGTGCAGACGGTAGTAAACTAGTAGTTCAGAAAAACAACAACAGCAGCAGAAATCAATAACAGCATTAAAAATAAATAATTGGCGCACAAGAATTTTCTACATGAAAAAACCAATGTGAGAAAAAAATTACAGGACTTTTTTCCAAGTCCACTCAAATTTTCATTATCAATAGTCAATAATAATGAATACACGTATATAATATTATCTCTCTGTATATCAATAGAGGAATCCAACAACATCATCAACAAAATAGAAATAAAGAGAAAGAGTAAAGAAAAATGTCACCAAAGAAACTGCAAAGGGAAAATCAAATCTGTCTTTTAGAGAGCTCCAAACCACAAAATGAGCCGTGAATGTGAGCTACACACCACGAACACTTCCCTGAAAATTTGAGCTCTTTCCGATAAAGTCTCACTCCACCCCCTTCTTTCTCTTTTTTCTCCTCTCCGCCGCTTCTGTCTCTCGGTCTTTCTCTTAGTCGTTCTTTCCCTCCCGCTCTCTTTCTTTCTTTCTTTTGTTTCTTTTCGTTTCAAAATTCAAAAGGCCAATGGGCCCCACCACTAAGGGTCACGGACCCAACAGTTCCCATTCCAGGTGTTCCACCCGATGCTGTCGATGGTGTCTCCCACGGGCATGAACAGCGGCGATGGGGAGGGAGGAGGGGGTCGCCAGAGATGAAGGAGTAATCGAGGGCGGGTTTGACGCCGTGGACGGGGACGAAGGTGGTGGTGTAGAGGTTACGGTGGGTGAGTGGGGTGGCGTTGAGGGAGAAGTCTGAGATTGAGTTGTCGGTAACGGAGAATGATTTTCCGGGGAGGTGGCTGTCGAGAGGGAAGATGATGGAGTCGGAGAATGTGAGACGATTCAGAATATATGGCTGAATCTTAATTTTGTTTTCAGCGTTGATTTGCAAAAGTTTTGAACGAATATGGCTGGTTTTTTTGACAATTATAAGAGGGTAATTCCGTGAAATCATCTCGTATTCCCAACAATTATTTTTAGAAATATTTTGGTTTATCAAATAAATTTTTTTAACATTTTTTATAAATTTACTTTTCCAATATATATTCATACTTTCCCAATATATATTAACGAGAATCATGATTTTCGTGAAAAAAAGGTTAGTTTTTTCTACACAGTATAAGTTTGATATGATATCGTTTTAGACAAAAATTATGGTATTTTTATAATTTTAATTTATTTCAGAATTATAATAATTTTTATATTTATAATTTTTTAAAATTTTAATATTAAAACGATGTGATTTTGAGAATAAATACAAATAACTTATACGGAGCAAAAATATTTTTCCAAAAAAAAATTTCTACTCGTCTACTCACGTTCCCTTGGAGAAATCGTATCTCTTACACGCGTAATAAATCCACAAGTTCTGGACTAAAAAAACAGTGTTCAAAGTTCAAACTAAATTGAATGGTCTCCGGCTGTGGTTAAGAATGGATGGTTTCAACATTTAAAAAAAAAAAAAAAATTCGTTACACAATCTTATTAATATAGAAACCTATTCATAATAAGTACAATATACCTTTGCTACGTTAAAGCTTGAATAAGAATTTATTGTGAAAATATAAATAATCAATAATGGAAATTCCTGAATTTAAATTAAAGTTATGCAGTTGTTTTGAGCAAAAAGTTATTTAGATGGGCCATTTCTCATTAACAAGTGTTTGGTTTGAAAATAAAATTATCTTTTTCATGGATATATAGATATGATTCATGTTTTAGGCGACACATATATAATTATAAATAATATTAATTAATATCAATATCGTAATTCAAAAAAATTAAAGGATATTTTAGATAAATCAAAGTTTTAAATTAAATAACTATATAGAAAATCACACTAAGGAATTAATAATAATATACTAGATAGAGAGAGAATGGTAAAAATGGATTCTTTTTTTTTTTTTTTTTTGGATATCAGTAAAAATGGATTCTAATTTGAAGCATACACATATTGCATGTTTATTATGTCATGATCATGAGAAATGACAACCATATGTTTGACACATCTAGTCTCACCCTGACATCTTTCAAAACACACTTAACAACTAAGTTTTCAAAGATTTCTTACATCTTGTTGAATACTTGATTTCTAATGAAGATAACTCAAACTAATCATGGCTTACAGTTACATTCTTCATCTTCCCAAAAGGATAGCAACCTTTAAATCCATGTGAACATTTATGTCTCAAAGGAGAACCCATTGTTGAAGAGGGAGATCTTGACCGTGAGAATGAAAGGTTTCCTTGAACTTGATCTTTATCTCTGATGGAAAATGAGGGTGATGAATATGCTAATGACCATGAAGATGAAGATGATGAGGATGAAGAAAGTGACCAAGATGATGATGGTGACACAAGAGCCTTATTCCTTGAGGAGCCTGCAAACCTTGGCAAAATGCTTGTAAAAAATATATTGGCTTTTGAATTTTTTCTCTTGACATTGGACTTGGAATTAGAATAATAGGAAGGTGGGGGTGTAAGAGGTGGCAGAGAGGTCTCTAACAAGGGGTGCTTAGGGGTTCCTGGTTGTGCCTCCCACATGAAAGGAACTGCCACTGATGTTTCTCTATAATAGAAGACCCTCCTTGAAGAAGAGTTAGCCTTGGAAGTTTCCTTGGCCATTAGCTTGGAGAAAAACCTACCATCATCCTGTGTTATTCTGAAGGACATTTCAGCTGAGTGATAATTGGCACTATCACTAAGCATTTTAGATTGAAAAGTATATAATACTTGTCTCTCTCGGATCAAAATGCCTCAAGATCCGAAAATGGAGTTAAAAGCAAAGCAACTATGTGGACTCTATTCTCTAGGAGTTTGCAGTCTAGACTCCAAGCATTATCTTATGGTTCCCCGTACTTGACTCTTAGGAAATATAAAGCGTTCACATTATTCAACATCAATAAAGAATTGGCTTCTTAATAGATGAATTAATTTAAGCATAGTTGTAGTAATATTCAAGAAGTGGGGACTTTGTTCAATTATAAAATGGGAATTATTAAACTTTGGAACGGGACCAATTTAATTGTCACGAAATTTAATGCCTGAAATATGATTGATAAACTAAATATAAAACTGAATCAAATGGGTGGCTGCACATTTATTCTTGGAAGCATCTGGACCATTGATTAAGAGAGATTGACGTATATTAGTTGTGGAGAATTTATATATCATTGATTTCCAAAAATAGAAGAGAAGGGGAGGGAGGAGATTTGTCAATTTGTTTATGGGTGAACACTAATAAATGAAAACATGTGTGGTCCATGACACCATGAATGAAAAGAAGAAAACTTGTTATCAATATTGGCAGTGGGGCAATGGGGCATTGAAGGTACCTCTACAAATATGTACATAGTGCAAAAAAATTTGATGTGCTGTCAAAAAGCCTAAAGAAAGTTCATATATATACTTACCCTTGCCATTGATGACTCATCTGCCAATTATCAAACTATCCATCATTGTTCGTGATTTGAGCACAATTCTAGTAGTTCAGATAGGATTAGCATAAGGGTCTTATATTCTATTCAAATAAAATGTTCTGCAGACATGATCATAAGGGTCTTAAGATATTGAACTTGGATACCAGGCAATTCAACCTCATTAAATTGAGGCAAGAAACAAATACGAGCCTATTGACCCATTGAGGCATTATGATAGAGGCACTTCACACACAGCGTGATGTAGTTAGGTACTAGCAATTTAATGTCATGGGTGAGATGAGCTGTATAGAACACGACAATTTGAAACTTCATATATACTAGCTTTGCAGAGTCTTGAGTTCTTAGATTTGATGATTTGAATCCACCCACAGCAGCCCCCTTTAATGTATAATTATATTCAATTTGACACGTGTAAGTTCTTAGATATGATGATTTGAAGTTTTGAACCCACCACTTCGGCTTGATGAGAATGTAGTTACATCCAATTAGACCTGAAGCAATTAATTCTGTAATAAATAAAAATGTGTTCAACATCAACCACCTTGTGGCCTCTAAGATGTAAGAGTATGAGTGTGCAAATATCACGGATGGTAATTCAGTTCATGATATGCTGATATGATATAAACATGGCTAGAGATTTTTTATGTTTGAGTTGATCCGCATTCACATTTGTGTTGTGTAATGAGGAGCCCGGGAGAGGCTACCAAGAGCTTTTGTCCCCATTTAAATTTATATAAATCTTTAGAAATGAATATTATTTTTAATTTTTTTTGTCATATATTTAAAAATCGTCCCCCTTCAAAATTTACAGAAATTTTTAGTTGTAACTTGTAAGTACTATTTTTTATTTTATTTTGTCATACAAATAGTTGTAATTTTAAATAAAAAAGTAAAGAGAATTATATTGACAATTTTTTTTTTTACAAACTACACTATGTTTTATCAGTAAGACACTCTTGAATGAAGTCTTACTGATAAAACAACAGTGTAATTCAGTGGTGGAGCCACTTAGAGGCAGGGTGGAGACTTGGCCCGAGCTAAAATTCAAAAATTAGCCATATTTTTAACATGACTAAGTTTTTGGATAAAATTTAATGTTAGGCCTCATTTAAATTTTTGTTGGCCCTAGCTTAATGAATGGATTGGCTCCGTAACTCGTGTAATTTGTAAACAAAAAATTGGTAAATATAATCTTGCTCTAAAAAATTATATTATAGAAAATCAAAACAATAACATTCGTAACAGTAATAAAAATATGTTTGTCTTAGTGTTGATATAGATATAAATTAAAATCGCATCGTTTTGGGGTAGAAGAGATCAATTATATTTTGTCACATAAGAAACAATAAATCCATATTTTTTATTGAAAATATAAATTAAATAAAGGTAATCTCATTTTAATCTTATATATGATTTGCTAGTATATGTCTCTTGGAAGAAAAATGTGCTAGTGACACTGCAATTCTCTTATGGAAAGCTATCTTTGTATTTGTCTTCCTGACCAAACTAATGACCAAGTTTACCAATAACTTTATAAATATATTTTCTTATTTGTTTTAATGGGTCGATATAGGTTATATACTCCAAATTATGGAACTTGATATCGATAATTATTTGGTTAATAGGAATACTGAAAAAAGAGTTTAATATACTGATAATATATATAGACAGTTTTATATTAGGGGTTTTAGTTTGTCCTTTAACATAAGTTGAAAAACTTTCCTACACACACAATATTTTGTGGAGTCCACACTTTTTAAAGCAAAAAAAAAAAAAAAAACTATGACACGCAAAACGAATTTTTATAACATTACACAATCACTTTTCCTACAACATAACTCTTATAAAACCCTTTATATTATTAATGAAATAGGTTGTATTTTGTATTTAAAAACGATATTATAAATATTTATTTATATCATTTTTATATTAAAAGTAAATCATATTTCAGCTCTCATACAGGACAAAATAAGCCTCTCTATCTCTATCAATTTCAACAGATCTAATCAAATTAACCAGAATTTGATTTCTTGGCCTGCCAACCTCCAACATTGCATGCTTTTTTTCTTCTTTTCTTTTCCTCTCTAAAAGAGCTAATCATTGCAACTTATGATGGAGAAGCTATAATAATATCAACTTCTTTCATTTTGGTACGCGCACTTTACCCTCTTAAATTATTTTCTCTGCTTTGTGAAACGTGCTCACTTGATATGCTTTTCACTGAATGGGAAAAAATGGAAAAATAATTATTAGAGAGTTCTTACATGATAATTGATCATCATTGTTCGTTAAAATTTAATGTACTACATTGTTGATATAAATAATTTTTTTTTATAAATCACAAATATTCTCCAGGGATACAATACAATCTTAATAATGGAGTTAACTCTCTAATCACAAGGAATTGAATCAATTTGTATGTCCTTTTAAATAATACAACTTGTGTTATTTTATTCTCACAAAGGAATGAGACTCAAATTTTTATTTTTATTTTCACTCTTTAATGATCTATCTCTTTCTCTCATTTAAAATGACACATATTTTTTTTATATATAAATAGATTTTCAGATAAACAATCAACTAGATAAGCTGTCACGCATTTAAAATAAAAAATGTAATATTTGTGCACCAATTATTGACATTATTCAAGTATTATATTAATTACATAAGGATTTTTTTTTTCTCCCTCACGCAAGAAATCTCCAATTCTCCGCATCTATTTCGAATTAATCACTGCTAAAACAATGTGAAAAAATTGAATATTTGAACGCATAAATCATAGGTAATTATAAAGAATCTTAAAAAACATTTTTTTTCAGGTAGTTAAAAGGATTTATATTATAAATAGAAAATATTAATTGTAGCAATGATGTAACATTTCTTATCGATTCATATAATATTAAATTTTACACTAATAAAAAACTGAATTTAAACGGAAGCATTTTTATTTTTTTGAAAAAACATATTGTACACCATTTATTTATACTAACATGCGGTGAAAGAACTTCATTAAGTGTAGGATAACGTGATAGTCTACATGATAATATTATTATTGTTTAACATTTATATTTTTGTTGTAAAAATAATTGATATGTCACGTTCACAGAAAAATAAATGTCCATCACTAATTTTTTTCTTTTTTTTATAAAGAGACTCATTCACTTTAGGTGTAACAGAAAAATATTTTCTGCAGCGAAAATATTTTTCTCATATTATTAACTTATTATTGTAAGTGACAAAATATCATTGATGCTAGTGCTAACGATAGTAATATTAAAAAACATTAATTTGTTTACCAAAAAATAATAATTTAATAGCGTATAAAAAATATATAAAAAATAGAAGACAAAGAAATTTTTAAAAAAATAAATATTAATAATATAAATTTATTGTTAAATAAAACTTTATATGGGTAATAATAAAAGACTCAAATTATTGGCACCACTAGAGTTAGCCTAGTTGTGTTGGGTGTTTGTGTTAAGAGTGTGTATAGTATAGGATGTTGTGTTCAATTCCTTGTAACCTCCAAAAAAAAATTCAAATTATTTAACGGGAACAATGAAAGATTTTATCTCATGAGAAAAGGACATATTAAAAAGTGTAAAAAATATAGGAAAAAAGATGTGTCATTTTTAATGTTGTTAAAATCGAGATCTTTAGTAAAATCGGAAGGGGATTAAAAAATTGTAAAACGTAAAATTATAGTGTAAAAAAATTGTAAAAACTTAAAAGCGTTTGGAATATTAATAAAATTGTTTAGATGAAAAAAAATCGTAAAACCGTAAAATCGTAGTGATAAATCGAGATCTTAACAAGAATGGTCATTTTAAATGACACACGTTATATTCTTTCACTCTCACAAAAAGGTGGACCCACACCTATAAAAATTTTCTAATCATTTTCTCTACCATAATTTATCTCTTTTTCTCATTTAAACTTTAAAATAAAACAATTTTATGTCCTTAAAAATGATACACATTTTCTCCAAAAATATATTACTTGTTTTTCCCAAGCCAGAAAGAAAGTGTACATTTCAAAATAGGGAATGCTTTTACTGCGTCCACTCTAGTAGTCATCGTTGAATCCAATAAGGCTGGCCTCAGCAGCATGAGTGTGAGTGGAGACTGGAGAGGCGCGAACAACGTCGTCGTTTCGTTTGGTACCACATCAAAACTTTTTCCCCGCCAAAAAGTCAATCATATTATAACCTCACCTCTGCGAAATGCTTTTCCCGAACCGCGCAAATCACGCTACAAAAATCAAAGAGCACGAGCAACCTATCACACACTCACCCAACCCTCTTACGTGTCACTCATTCATTGGCTGGCACTCCTCAACAGCAACCACCAACGAACCACCTTAAAGCGCACACTCATAAACCATGGTCCTCAGCCCCACCGTATCACACAAATTAAAAAAGAAGAAGAAAGAAAAAGCACCACGGAAAAAGCGTTCTCTGCAACTTTTTTCCCGTTTCGCTCACCGAGTCGTGACTCGGTCCCCCCCTTCCCTTTTGCAACCGAGTTCTGACTCGGCCCCGCGACATCATCATCACGCTCCCTTCCACTTGCATCATCCTCGGTATTGCATAAATTCCCCCAATGGGTCTTTCTCGGAAGTCCAAGTTTCCAACTTTAACCAACTTTTTAACCTCTGGTTTTCGATGCTTCTCTGAAATCCGCGTTTGCGTTCCTTCGTACTTTCTTCTGTGGAAATGGCCGAAACTCGCGCCGATGGGGTTCCCGGAACGCCTTCTATAAGGGAAGTGAGACCCGAGACGGGAATCGGGTCGGGTGGGGACCCGATTCCCGGGATTAGAAGGGTGAATTTGCGAGCCGAGATTGATACGTCGCCGCCATTCGGGTCGGTCAAGGAGGCTGTGACCCGTTTTGGAGGTAGCGGGCCTTGGATACCCCTTTACAGGCTTGGAGAGGCTTTTGTAAGTTTTTGACTCTTAATGCTTCTTTTTTTATTGATTTTTATTTTATTTTATTTTTGGAAAGCAATGCCTCTATTTTTGTGTCTTGGAGCTGTGAATATGATTTATTTATACTAGGTTTATTTGCTCAAAAATGCGAAGAATGAAGTGAAAGTCAAATTTTGAAGTAAGAACTGGGTTGCAGTATTTTTTTTCATTTTAAAAAAGATAATGATATGTTTTATTTATTTATTTATTTCTATTTCATTTCTTAAAGGATTATGTGGTTGCTTAGTTAGTACAAAAAATTGAACTATTTTACCTGTTGTAATTTCAGCCTACTGTTAATTTCATCTTATTTCATGTACTTATGGTAGTTAAATTTTCCGTAGATGGATATATGAATCTTTTTTATTTTTTCTTTTGTTTGGAGTTGGTAAGTTTGCAATTTGATAGTTATTTTTTTTACTTTGTTAGGTAGTAGTAAGGTGCAGAATGCAGATAATTTGATGATTCAAATAATACATTTACTTTGAGAATTTGTATTGCAGGTGCTGACATTGGTCTAAAGAGCATTATGTAATTTTCCTTTCTGGGTTATTGTAAAATGAGTATTGGCAAAGTTGGACACAATTACTTCTGAGATGGAATTCATTTGCATTTTTGTCTATGAAATCCTTGTTTTTTTCATCAACTCATACTGCCCGTGCATTATTAGCATAGTTCTTTGTAGTGTGCATTCTTGATACCTTCCCTGTGTGTTAGTTTTATTTTCTGATGTAGAAGATTATATTAGCAGAACAACATTGAAGATTTCGACTTAAAGAAAGTGGAGGAACAAGCAGCAGAGTTGGAGAAGGATTTAATAGTCAAAGAACTTGAAACACTTGACGTGCTTGAAGAACTTGGAGCTACCAAAAGAATTGTGGAGGACTTAAAGCAGCAGCTACAAAAAGAAGCATTGAAATGTTTTGCAACTCCTGATGTAAATTCCTATGAACAGGTTGGAACTCCTGTTATTAAGGAGATGAATAAGGAAAATTATGGAAATATTGTTAACAATCAAGAACATATATTGCAAAGTCCAACCCCCTGCACTATGTCATCACCTGATCTGATCTTAATGGAGTTGAAACAAGCCAAAATGAATCTTGGTAAAACTATAGATGAACTTGGGGTGATTCAATCCTCTGTTGAATCTTTGAATAAGAAGATGAAGAAGGAGAAAATTTTTCTAGAGAGGACACGCCAAAAGCTAGCATCAAAGTTTGCATCTTTCTCTGCTCAAGAAAGGGCCCAGGAGCAAACAAGATTAAATCCACCAGCATCTCATGTAGAATGCGCTTTTTATAATCCTGCTAATATTATGAGGAACTTCAATTCTGATTCTGAGCAGTATAATAGAACGGTTGAAACACGAGCTGAAGTTTCAAAGCCCTTACCTGTGTATGATGTGAATGGATTTAGTATTAAGACTGCTGAGATGAGGTGGCTTGCAGCTAAAAAGATGGAAGAAGCTGCAAGAGCTGCAGAAGCTATTGCTTTTGCCGAAATCAAGGCTCTATCTAGTGCTGAGAGATCATCAGGGTTTGCTCTTCCAGAACCCGAGAAAGTCACTTTTGCTTTAGCAGAGCGCTCTCCTTTAAACCCCAAGGCTCAGATACCTGAGGAGTCAACTTTGAAGAAGGTAATAGATTCCAAGTTTCAAATTGATGAAACAAATATTTCTAAACTTACTATTTTGAAGAAGTTGGAGGAAGCAACAAAAGAAGTTCTACATAGCAAAAAAGTCTTGACAGATGCTTTAAACAGTGTTGAAACTGCAAATAGAAAGCAACATGCTGTTGAGGAGGCTCTAAGGAGATGGATTCCAGAGGATGATCTGAAGAAGCAAGCGGTGTATAACTCTATTAGCTGCAACAAGTTTAATCAAGCTGGAAATTGTCATGATTCTTCTCTACCGGATTTAACCAAGTCAACAACAGCAAACAATGATCCAAAGCCTGTTTTAAGGTCCACAATTTCAATGAGAGATGTACTTAGCAGAAAGCAAGTTCCCGAAGGGTATGCTACAAGAAAGGAGATGGAAGAGCACACTGAAAGACAAAAGGTAGCATTGAGTCAAATGCTTCGAGCATTGAGGGAAGATATAACTCTTCCAACAAATGCTGATAAAGATGGCAGCAATCAAAAGCGGTTCGTATCACAGAGGAAGAAGTTTGGATTCATCCAAATATCACTCCCGATGACAAAGCCAAATAAGAGAAGGGCATGAAATTTTAATCCTACATGCCTATGCATGGATGAATAACCACTACTCATGCATCTTTATGTCTTCCCTTGCCATTCTTTATTGGTTCATGTGTTACGTTTGCTTTCCTATTATTTATGTAGAAGTTTGTGTGGGTGTCTGATATTGTAAAATATGTTGTGCTTGAGTGATTGGTGATTATTCTATGACTAGCTTTGACGGAGCTAGTGGATTATGTTGTACTCATTTGATGCATTAGAGTGATGAGGAATTTATCCACAGGTTATGAAGGTTTTATCATTGGCTAATTTGATTGTTGGGAAAAAAAAAATAGTTACCTCCTCCCCCTACCCCAGATCCTGTGGACGCCCTGATAGAGCTAAGTGACATTAGGATCTTGTATGTCCTGGCAGAAAGTTGATGAATTAGGTAAAATTTCAAAAAAAGAAACCTATTCAACGTGTAGAGGAAGCTTGACACACGTTATCCTTATAAACTCCTTTACAATTGAGATTCTACACATTAAAGACATTTTCCATTTAGAGATGTGATCTTTGATATGCAATTCCATTTCTTCACTGGATTTTAACACTTTCTATAATAATTTTTGGGTACCTACTGATCCAAATTGTTGCTTTTGCAAATTCAATCAAATAACAGCTTTGTTATTCTTAAGCCTCTTGTACGTCATTCATTTTGTTTGCCTACTTGCACAATATTATGTTGTGACCCTTGCCCCCTTCAGTTGTTATCTTCAGATGAATTGAATAATGTTTATTCTTTTAAATTTGAGATTCGTACTGTATTCATGACGATTGGATTGGCTTTTGGTTAATGATGAGGCTTGATCAATGTTTGGGAAGTTTGATAAGGTTAACCTACGTCTCAGGCTCAATGACATTCCAATTCTTACAGTTTGGTTAAATACTAATTAGTTACTTTTGCTGGTCTTACTCGCTACGTAAACATAATTTTCAATCATGGCCTATATGGATTATTTACTGTTCCTCAGACTGCAGTTCAGAGTACTCTTCTAACAGTTGAGAACTCCTCTAGTCAAGATTATTGGAAATTCAAACATGAGTAATAAAATTCTACATCGATAAAGAATGAATTAAGTAAGGGATCTATTAATCTCATGTTTATTTCATGCAACGATAAGATTGTGGGGTTCATTAGTTTTTCAAAAAAAAAAATATTGGATCCCATTATTTTGTCTCTGTTACATGAGATAATTATATCATGCAACATGAAATAATTATTTCCCATTAAGTAAAAAAGATATAATTGAAATGAGTGATGAACCTAATATCTTGTAATTTTGGACTGGAATACGGTATTGGGCCCATTTAATGATTTAATGTAGGAAAATGTATTTATCATGTTGTAGGAATTTTTATGATCATATTTTAATTATGTATTTTTAAAAGTACATAATTAAAAAGAACCAACAACAGTTTTTTAACTATGTACTCCAAAAAATACATAGTTAAAAAAATAACTTTAATATTATAATTATGTACTTCCGAGAGTACATAATTAAAAAACAGTTGCAGGAATTCTTGAGAAAAAAAGAACCCTTTAATGTAGTAGACTCCTACACTTTTTTTTTTCGAATTCAGTTTACCATTTGATCTTCTCATCGCTTCTCGGTTCTTATGTGATTTATGATTTAAGATAGAGGACATTGATTGAATCTGTATGTATAATGGTGAAATGTTGTTCCAAATTTATTTGCTTTTTAGCGTAAAGGTTGCCTTAATTTTTCGATGACTTCAAGTCTTGTGATACAAATGAGTTAGAACCGGTTTGGATGGGCTTTTTTTTCTTCAAAAGCTGCTTTTTTTAAGAAAAAAAAGAACTTCTCGAAAAAAGTCTGTTTGGATGCCTGCTCTTAAAAAAGCAAAAGTCATAAAAAAAGTCAAAAACCTACTTTTTTTGGAAGCTAAAAATTTTAGCTTTTAAGAAAAGCAGAAGTCAAAAGTCAAATATTTTTTTTCAAAAAACAAATATTTTTAAAAAAATCTAAATAGCTGTAACTTTTATAAAAAGTATTTTTAAAATAAAGAAGTGATAAAAAAGACTTTTTTCAAAAGTCCATACAAACAACCTCTTAATGCCTGTAATGTAGACGGAGGAAAAGGTGAGGCAGCAGTTTTCTATTGTCCACAACATTTTGGGACTGAATGTGTGCATGACATGTTGCAAATATATGGTGCATTATATGCGTCGGAAGTATGACATGTTCCGTCACTAGATTTCCCAAGCTTATGATTCTCTTACCCAAATTCCGTTCAGAACACGAAAGCATTGAATCGTATCAATGACTATTTTGTTGTGTTTGAACCAACTTGTACCCAAGAAAGATTGCAAAACAGAAAACAGATTACGACCACAATTTTAGATAAGAGTTTGTCGGATTTGATCTTGAAATTGGTGGGTCATTTTGGATAATCTTCTCTACATTTAATCACTAGCTAAGTTAGAGTGAGAAGTTCTCAAAAACTTCTATTTTATCCTTTGGATTAGTTTGTGAATAATTCTCACTAATGTTAATTAATTGTTGGCAAATAAAAGACTTTCTTTTTCCAAAACATTATATCCCAGTAATCCCACCAAAGTGATCCATCTCATTCAAATGGATGAGAACTCGTTTAAAAAACCAAAAAAATAAACTAAAAATAAATATAGACCATTCTATTGAATCATTAAAAATTAGAAAAATTGATTATCAATTTATTGGCTTTATAAATTTTGAACCGGTCCAATCGTTTTTATAACCAGTGTTTTAAAATTTCATCCCTGTTAGAAATCGATAACACACAAATCGAAAACGGAAAAGAAAAAAAAGAGAGAGAATAGACATAGCGATTTACCCTGGTTCACCCAATTTAGTCTACGTCCAGCTTGTCTGTACTATATTCACCTCACCGCCACTCGTTACAAGTCTCTCGGTTTACAAGACAAATATAAATAGGATTACAAAACCCTAACAACAGCTATTCATGGGTCCAAGCCCAAACTGCTAAGAAAATTACAATAAAACAGAGACCCACAATCTAGGGCCCTCATCAGCATGCGAAGTATGAGCCATACTCAACAATTCCACCCCGGGATCGACCCCTTCGGGTCACTGATGTTGGAATTTTTAAATTCCTCTAAACTTTATGGTGACAACTATCACCCACAAGCCAAGATTCCATCATACCAAATCATAAAGAAAAATAAGAACAACATAAAGGTGGAGGAATACCTGTCTCCATTGCAGCGGAATAACTTTGATCTTGTCTCTTGGGGTTTGTAGTCTTCCTCAGTCAAATCACCCTAAAACCTTATTCCTTAGTGTGTCGTCTCTCTCTTGATGGGGAATGTAACAGCCCCAAACCCTGTAGCAGGATATTGTCCGCTTTGCCCCGCGCACAAGCACCGTCGAGCTCACGGTTTTACGTTTCGGGTTACCCCAAAAGGCCTCCTACAAGGAAAGGTATCCACACCCTTATATAAGGCATGCTTCGTTCTCCTCTCCAACCGATGTGGGACATTACATCCTCCCCCACTGGGAATACAGCGTCCCCGCTGTACAACCGGTCCAGGGCCAGGCTCTGATACCAAATGTAACAGCCCCAAACCCTGTAGCAGGATATTATCCGCTTTGCCCCGCGCACAAGCACCGTCGAGCTCACGGTTTTACGTTTCGGGTTACCCCAAAAGGCCTCCTACAAGGAAAGGTATCCACACCCTTATATAAGGCATGCTTCGTTCTCCTCTCCAACCGATGTGGGACATTACAGGGAAGAGAAACTAGGGTTATTCATTTGACGTATTGGGGACCATAACCCTTTTTTATAGTGTTTTTATCTTTATTGTTGGGCCAATAAGCTCCCATTATACCTAGTTGGCCCAACACCGATATCCACTCATTCAGCCCATACTCACTTAGGAATCTATTTGAGAATATTTAACTGATCACTTTAATTTACCCAATATATATAAATAGCACAATATAATTATTAATATAATATGTGACCCACAATAATTATTAGAAAATATAATTTCCTAACAATCTCCCACTTGGGCCACATATTAACTTGAGATAATTATATCGTATATCTTTAGTGCGCAATTGTATGTTATTTTTCTTTAGATTCCTCCTTAGATACGATCTGGTCCACCTCATATATCAATATGAGATCATGGCGGCTTTTGTCACTTTCAAGCGTAACTAAACCATCCATGGTCATCGCACCAATATATTCAATGACATAGATCAAGTATGGATGAGTGGCATGGAAATTACATGCAATGTGATCTTACCATGCCTATTTCCAACTGGTCCTACTTTAATCTTTATGAGATCAATCCTAAATTTTCTGCATACACAAAGCAGAAACACAAGCACAAAATATAATACATTCAGAGGGAAAATATCATTGAATCCTTTATTCTGCAGAAAACAAACATAAGAATATTTCATTTATTTATTTACATAGAACACCAACATAAAGAACTCCCACTAAACCATAGTGTCATCGAACAAAACAACACTTATATGAGCAGTATGCTCGTGAAAGACCTTAGGCACTAAGCCTTTAGCAAGCGGATCCGCAAGCATGGAGTTCGTCCCTATGTGTTCTATGGAAATCTGACCACTCTGAACTCTTTCTTTAACAACCAGAAACTTTATATCGATGTGCTTCGATTTTGAAGAGCTTCTGTTGTTGTTGGAGTACAACACTGCTGACCTATTGTCACAATAAATCTTCAGTGGCCTTTCAACACCACTCACTATATGCATCCTGTGACAAAGTTTCGCAGCCATACCCCATGGTTGGATGCCTCAAAACAAGCTACAAATTCAGCGGCCATAGTAGAGGAAGCTACGAGTGTCTGTTTAACACTCTTCCAAGAAATATCTCCTCCAGCCAACATGTAGACATAACCTAACGTGGATCTTTTACTATCTTGGCATCCAGCAAAATCAGAGTCAGTATATCCGACGATCTCTAATTCATCTGACCTCCGATATGTAAGCATATAATCTTTAGTTCTCTTTAAATACCGCATAACCCTCTTGGCTGCTTTCCAATGATCCATTCCTGGATTGCTCAAGTATCTTCCTAACACTCCCACTATAAATGCTATATCAGGCGAGTACAAACCTAGGCATACATAAGGCTTCCTACTGCCGAAGCATAAGGTACCTTTGTCATTTCTATCATCTCAAGCTTACCTTTAGGGCATTGGGCGAGACTAAACTTGTCTCCCTTAGATATGGGCGTATCTCCTGACGTACAATTCTTCATGCCAAATCTATCCAAAATCTTTTCAATGTAGGCCTTTTGTGATAACCGTATGATAC